GCGTGGAGCTCGCGCAGGCCTCCGTGGACTGCCCGAAGGCCGGGCGGACCTCCGCGATGCCGTCGAGGAAATCCGCCCGCCCGACGACGACGTCGCCCGTGGCGATGACCGCCTCGGCGTGGTCGAGGTTGACGTGCCGGTTAAACGCGTTCGACATCGCGGCGCGGACGACGCCCTCGATCTCCGCGCCGGAGTAATTCGTCGTGCGCGCGACGAGCTCGTCGAGGTCGACGTCGGCGCCGAGCACGCCGTGCGCCCGCATCCCGCGCGTGTGGATGCGGAAAATCTCCTGCCGACCCGCCGCATCGGGGAGGCCGATCTCGACGTGGACTTCGAACCGTCCCGGGCGAAGAATCGCCTCGTCGATAAGGTCTTTGCGATTCGTGAGGCCGATCAACAAGACGTTGTTGAGCGAGTTCACCCCGTCGATCTTGGAGAGGAGCTGATTCACGACGTTGTCGCTCACCCCGGTGGAGTCGCGCACCGCCCCGCGTTGCTTGCAGATCGCGTCGAACTCGTCAAAAATGATGAGGTGAAGGCGGGATTGATCGCCTTTCGCCGCCTGCTCCGCCTCGGCCTCGGCGAAAAGGTTCCGCACGTTCTCCTCCGTTCCCCCGACGAACTTATTAAAAACCTCCGGGCCGTTCACGATCTTCGGCTCGTGGCAGTTCAGGATCTCACCGATTTTACGCGCAATCAACGTCTTCCCCGTCCCGGGTGGGCCGTGCAGGAGAACCCCTTTCACGTGTTTGATGCCGAGTTTTTTGATGTAGGAAGGGGGGAAGATCCGACTGGCGAAGGCGCGACGGAAAACCTGCCCGAACTCGCTTTTTAAGCCCCCAATCCCAAGACTCTCGAGGTTGAAGTTTTGAATAATCTGATGCTGCTGCGCGTCGAGCTGACCATCGGAGATATTCGTCAGCGCGATTCCACTCCGCTCCGTGGCGGTAACAATAATCGAGGTGAGTGCACCGAGATACCCGATCTCCGACTTCTCGCCCGTCGAATCCAGCTTCAGATTCGCCACCGTCGCCAAAAGCCGCATCCCGCTGTCGAGCACCACCGCCAGCTGCTGCGTTTGGCGAAAGCACTGCCCCATAAAACGCGCCTTACAAAAGTCGCTAAACTCCCTGCAATCCAATGTGCCGTTGCGCTTGGAAAGGACGATGTGATCCACACACAACGTGATCTCGAGAATCTCAGGCTGCTTCTGCGGGACGTGCGCAATGCTAACGGTCGTTCCCGCGGTTACCGAAAGATTCAGAAGGCGCCGTTGGATGCTGTTAAAGGCAATAAAACCGCGCTGCACCTTGGGATTCGGCCGCACACTAAATGGAAAGGCTGAGATGATAACGAACTCTGCATCCCCGACCTCCGTTTCATGATCAGCCGGATTGAGATAGACTAGGTTCGTCCTGGTGTCGTTGTCGGATGGCAGGGAGCATACCACAAAATTTCTTGGCATGATTGCCTACTTCTGTTCTTACTTATTGTGAGGTAATTAAAATAATTACGACAAGTGAATAAAATAAGTCCAAAGATAGCCGTAGAGTGTACCCTAAATCACTTAAAATAGACAAAGCGTACACAAAATGGAGAAAAAGTATCATTATCAAAAAAATTATACTAAATCCATTTATAATAATTCATGGCAACCAATAGTAATAAAGCATAATCATTTGGAAAGAATGAGTTTGCAAGCGCTGTCTAAAATCAACTATGCGTACACATACAGACCGGCCTCTCATCATATGTGAGTTTTCTTGTTCTCGCTGGAGGTATTCGCCCCGCACCACTCCCTCTACACTACTCCAAGAGCTACTATAACCAGTCATTAGGATGTTTTTATGCAGCCTTTGCCTTCAATATGAAGGAATCTGCGGAGGACAAGTTCATCCATTTTTGAATCATTCTGGCGGTAAATTAGTAGCAAAGCGTTAAATAAAGGATAAATGAAAGTATTACACATACACATAGTACCAAGGTGTCCGCAAATAGCTCACATTATCTCTCACGCACTTTCTTAATACTAAGGTAACTTACATTTTAGTGATCAGTTACCCCAATGAATCTATAAATTCACTGCAACGCTTAATATTAAAGTATCTAAGCTTTTCAGATCAAATGAGATAATAATAATAAAAAAAACGCTGTGAAAGCATGACATGCATTGAAGCAATCCTTTTGAAAGATACATTAGTGTGAGTAACTCGTCTTACATTTAAATAGAAACGTAAAGCTACCTAGCTAAGTCAAATTTAACGCCTAATTCAGGAGTGAATTAGATAATTTACTCAACAAACAATATTATTTTCGACTAAATGCATATATATAGTCAAAAGTGAATATTCACTAAAATATATACAGATTAGATTTGTTGATTTTTGATGTCATTTTTGCTAGCCCTTTCTTTACATACTTCCCATGCACTTAAAACTTCATCTAAAGATCGACAATGGGCAGCTGCACAACAACAACCATCCTTTCCCCTAGCATCATCGGCGTTCACCGTTAAATCCCTCGAAGCAATAAATTTATCGATTCCGTATTGCCCTTCCGTCTGAACTTTGTTCGTAACATCTTGCGGCGCAACAAGCAAAGGCTTATAGCGAGAAAAGGAGCTCGAAGTCGGAAGCAACCGCGTGAAGTGCGGAGAGCGAAGGCGCTCCTCTTCACTTACCAAGCACGCTTCGACCACCGTGCGAGGTTGCCCGTGGAGAAAGCGTTCTAATAGGTCGTAATCTCCATAATTTCCCCCCGTGAAGGATTCAAAATCGGCATGGTCGGCGCTTACTTCGGCCTCTTTCGTAGTGGACAACGAGCTCAGCGCGGCAGGGTTGGGATCGCCGCGCGGCTCCTCCTTCACAGTGCGGCTACTACACGACATAGGGGTGGTTGTGAAAGATGGTTTGCGTGCAATGGGGGTAAGTCCAACCAAATTCAGTGTATCGGCGATAAAATTTCCCTTAATACACTGATCAAGAGGAGAGTAGTGGGTGCTGAGAGAGGGCATGATATTAACTTCGATAATAGCGGGGTTTAAAACCACACCGGTCACGTTCGCTGCCGTGCGTGGAGGTCGCTCCGCTTTTGGGATGGTCATGCCAGGGCTGCCGGTCGATTGTGGGGAGCTACGACGCAACAACACATCCACACCGTAAATTTCAAAGAATGGGCTAATTCCTTTGACGGTGCACGGGGGCGGGGGGATGGTCGAAAAAAACGAAGAGGAGGATTCGGCGAATGAGCCGGAGCCTTGGCCGGGTGCATTTGCGTTGATAGACGCCGCCTTCTTAGCCCCACGGGCGCCTCCACTTTTACCCCGCTGTTCAAGCTCTCGCAATTCGTTCCTCACATCGGGTGCGATGGAAAGAAAGACCTTGGCGAGCAAATCCTCCACCCGCTTCATAGTGGACTCCCAATCAACGCCATCCTGCTCCATATACGCCCGTAGCGCTGCCAAAGACCACTTGGAGACCATAACCCCAGCCTTGGTGCCTGCTCCCTTCGTGCTTCCCTCCCCACTGTAACAGGGAATGACGAAGTCCTCCGATTTTTTGTTGATCGTAAAGTTCGTGAGATGCGCTGTCAGACGACGTATATCCGTGATGGCTGGGGTGGCATCTTCCCCTTTGAACACCGGTGAGACCGAACCCTCCGTGGGGGATGAGCTCGCTAAGGATTCGCAGGAAGCGGCGGAGTCGAAGTACGGCGAGGTTGCAAATCGCACCAACCCCTCCTTGTACAAATACACACGCGCCGGCTCGTACGACGTGATTACAACGTACAAACGCAGGTCGAACTTATACCCATAAACGAGGTAGGGGTCCGAAAGGTATTCTTGAACAAGAAAACGATCGGGAAAACTCAGCGTTCCCAGAAGCTTAACGTTTCGGCGATTCGAAAAAGAAGCTTTAGCAGGGTTATCCTGTCGCGCAAGGTCTCCCTCAGGGAGAGCCTGCGCGGCATGCGAGGGTGAAATCTCAACTTCAGGGCCTCCCTTTAACAAATACACACCTCTCCCGCACGCCCCGGCGGCGGGCTTGACGATAAACAGCTTGCCACGATGCTGCGGATCGCGAAGAAAAGCCTCGCAGGCCTTGCGCTCCTCTGGAAGCAGCCATGCCTTTGGAAAGAGCTCCTTGCCAAAAGATTCTTCATTTCCCGCTAAATCCCTATCCCCATCGTCTGGAAGGCAACGCGCTAACATCGCGCTACACCCCGATTCCGTGCTGGGGAGACAATGAGAAGTGGATGAGATAGTGAGGTTTTTGGATTCTTCAACGAATCGCCTCCACCGCTCCGAGGCCGCACATAGCGCCCGATGAAGTGCATCCTTTCTTCCTAACCGCGACGTCCCTGGGAAGTGGTTTAATTTCTGAAACAAAGCCGCGTTGACGCCTTGGAAATCACTCGGCAATGGGTGCTTAATCCACTTGAGGGACCATGAGGTATCGAGAAGAGCCTTTCGAGCCGCGATGCATCGAAAACCCGCCCCTTTTAGCGTGGAGGTGAGCCCGCTAAAAGGCACCGCGTTGTCGCCCAGCACGTAGCGGAGCTCCGCGCACGAACTACCACCGCTCTCTTTTGGAATGCGTCGAAGAATTGCAAACGTTCGCCTCGCTTGCCGCCTTGAGAAGGAATCCACGGTATAGGATGCGTTACAGTCGTTATTTTGAGGAGCGCTGCTCATTCGAGGTGGGATTGCGCGATGGGGGAGAAAATCCAACGAAATCCCATCCCCCACCTCCCTTGTCGAACGAAGCGGAAGTGGGCAAGGTTGCACGTAGGTGTGGTCGTCTCCGAAGGAAGGATCGCCATCCCACGGGCGGTCGTAGGCCGTCAACCACAGCGTCGGACGCCGACGAGGAAATGGGCTCACCACCCACACCATTTCTGAATCCACCGTAATGGCAGATTCACGAAGTTCCACCCCGCCATCTTCAGAAGGCTCCTTTTCGAGAAGTGCATCGGCATTTTTCTTGGAATTTTCGCCGTTTTTAGGTGAATAAGGTGGAGGGAAAGGGGAGGTAAGTGCCTTGAAAGGACGGGGTGTGGTCATGTACGCGGCTAATATGGCGTTAATCGGCTTGGAGGCGGAGAGCGCTTGATGCCGTCGCCGCTGTTCCTGAATAGGCTGGAATCTCTCATCCGCGTCGAGGTTGGCATGGAATCCATTGAGGGCGTCTTGAAGAGACATCGATAGGTGTATGCTGAAAAAAAATACAAAAATACACATGAATGAAGTGAAATCATATTCATAGCATCGTCGCTTTCTCACATATACTCACCCATTCAACAAAAAAATTAATCTTCTCATATCGAAGCTATAAAGGAAAAGCATGACGTTTTTTTTATTTTGGTAACCTTGGATTACAAAATAATTACTATTATGATTATGCCATATATATATATATATATATATATGTATGTGTGTGTGTGTGTGTGTTAGTCTTCCATGTCAGAATCACCATTGCCCGTTTCTTCGTGGCGGTAATCATCATATATCCTTAAAACATCCTCAATATGTTCCTTCCAATCGTCCGCCTCCATCGAATACGACTCGCAGTAGGTGTGCATCCGATATCGGAGCGTTTTTTGAGCCTCCTTCACGATGCGATCCAACATCGGGGCGGAATTAAAGGTGGTGACGACGTGCGAACCGACATCGGTACTGGTGATGTGCTTCTGGAGATCCCTCGCGCGGTTCACCGCCTCCGTCGTGGCGCCGGAAGCAGAGGAGGAACCGGTGGGTTGCGTTAACACCCGTTTCGTCTCGATAAACTCCCGCTCCGAATCGAACAAAATTTCCAACGGAAAGGTGCTCGAGATGGGATAGTTCGTCCGCGTCAGCAAGGGGAGATAGGTGGAGGTGCGAAGGGGTAACCCATACCGCAACATGGCCTCCGCGGTGGGGTAAACCCGAGAAGGAAGCACCCCGGCGCCGCGCAACGTCAGCGTATGCCCGAGGACCCTGCCCGCGGCGGAAAGCGGAGAATACGGCATGGCATGGGAGAGGGGGACGAAACCCCGCCCCGTTTCCCCCCCTGATCCCCCCGCCAACGGGATGGACTCCAAAAACCGCCACAACTCCCCGCTCTGCGGTGGGGGAACCGGCAAGGGAAGGTCGCCGAAGAGGGCGGAAACCCGCCACGACGGGCTCGGCCGGAGGGTTTCCACCCATTCCCCGAGGTAATACGCGGGGCCGTGGGGCTCCCTCCCCCCCCCCCGTCGCCGTCGACGCCGCGATCGCGGGTGCCGTAAAGGGCGGTATCCATCACCGCCGCGAGGTACTGCGCCGCCGCGACGTCGTCCCCCACCCACCAACCCCTCCCTGGGGGAAAAAACTCCGCCCAATCGGCGACCTCCACGGGCACGTACAGCCCCGAGGGGTTTTCCGACAACAAGGCGGTGGCGAGCAGCCGATTCAGCCCGATCTCCTCCCGCCGGGTGCGGAGAAACGGGGTCGTCTGCGGGAGCGCGGGCAACCCCGCGAAGACGGCGAAAATCGCGACCGGGAAGCCCGAGCCGGTGAGCTCCCACAGCCCCCGGAGGGTCTGGACGGCGGCCCCGCCGAAGAGGGAATCCGCGTCGACGACGCACTGCAGGCCCTGCGCGTGATCGGCGGCCTCGAGGTGCCCGC